ATGTATAATTGGCCAAAATTAATGTCAAACCATAAACCAAATCAGGCCCTTCCTTGTCACCTCATTTGGCCTAATTATAGGCCCCAAAACATTCCCCGTTTTATTCACCACCATAACCACCAAATGTGCTTCCTTGTGCTCCCCACTTTGGCCAAACAAACACCCACAAAAGGCCAAAAGAACCTGACCCGCCACCAACCATATTATCAACCAGCCCTTGTTCCCCACTCATCGTCTAAAGCATATGTCCAAATTAGCCTATCAATCTCCCCCTTTAAATCCCCTACCTACTGGCTGAAATAACCCCACAAAACCAGCCCACATCTCGGAATTCATCCCACCAAAAGGACATGAATAAATGGCTATTATTCTTAACTTGTGGAAGAGGAAGTTGCTTGGTAGTTTATTTGTAGTTACATTCAATGTATTGTGTGTCCCCCCCTCTTTCCTCTTTATAAATTCGGCCATATGGCCTTTGTAAAAGACATATTTTGGAATATAAAACTTTGTTACTCTTTGAGTATTCTTAAAATAGTGTGATGCTATTTTAGCCAAATTCCTAATTCTATATCTTAAGAGTGGTTCTCTTAAGTGTGAGTTTTAGGTTCTAGTTATTTGAATGAGTGTGTAATATCTTGATTAAATACTAGAGTTTAACCCCAAGTTAATCTAGAGGTGAGCTTATACTTTAGTAATAATTTGGCTCCAAATTAAGATAAGAGTGTGTTTATCTCTTATTCCTTATTTGGAATTTATCCCATCCTTTCTAAGCCCATCCTTCATCCCTAATTTTCCACTCTTCTTCATAATATCAAAAACCCAAAAGAAGTCCTTTCACATACTCCATATTTTGTCCAGCCCATTCCCAACCTATACACCTCCATGTTCTTCCCATTTCCAAGCCTAGAAACATCAACTTGATAAGACCCTCGGTTCACCCCTAACACATTAGGCACCGCTTCATTAGAGATCATGTTCTCAAAGGTGATGTCGAAATTGAGTTTGTTGAAACACATAACCAATTAGCCGACATTTTCACAAAACCTTTAGAGAAAGAGTCGTTCTTTCGTATTCGTAGTGAACTCGGAATCCTTGACTCCACGATGATCTAATCTGTGCATTTTATTACTCTTTTATCTCTGTTTGAACATTTACTAATGTGAGCGTCGGAGGTTTTTCTAACTCTTTTTTGCAGGGATGGTTCTAAGTGACGAAATCTGGAAGTCAAGGGGAACCAGCGATCGGTGGGCTATACCATCGTTGGGAGGGAAGTTCCTTCTTTTTCCAGAACTTCTCTTCCCATCGATGGGAATATTCTCCCATCGATGGGTGATTGCCTCTTTTTTTAAAACACTTAACGGATTTCCAGAAACCCTTTACCCATCGCTGGGTATCTTTTCCCATCGCTGGGTGAATGACTTTTGTTTAAAAACGTTTTCCAGAACCTCCCCACCCATTGATGGGAACTTCCTCCCATCGCTGGGTGTTTGACACTATTTTTTTTAGAAATTTTAATGTTTTACAAAACCACCAACCCAGCGATGGGATGGTATAAACATCACTGGTGTTATATCTGGGATTGGCCCTATCATTCACTCCCCCATGTCCCACACCCTCGCAAAAACCAAAGGACGTACGTTCAAACATTATGATCCATTTTAATGAGAATTCTAAGTCCTTCAACCCGAGAGGCCAAAATAACTTCGGACCTAAGGGTTCTGCCAACCAACTCCCACTCCACCAAACCCCACCCTAAACATCCAAAACTCATTTCCATTTAATTCCTTTCAAACATAAAGTTTTCCTACACTTATTTTAGCCCATGGTCGAAAATAAGAGTGTAAAATAAAATGTTGGGAAAAATATTATAGATTTTGATGATGATGTATTTAGATTGTAATAGGGACTTTAGGCCTCCCCCAATATTCAATGTAATTTTTCTTTTTAGAAACATTGTCAAAACCGAGTTCTTGAGATTTCCAATAAAGTTGTGATATTTCTTTAAGTGGTTTGATACTTGAAGACTTAATCAAATTCAGTGATTTTGGAAATTGGATATCTTGATCAGAAATGTCAGAGACAAGTAAGGATTTCTCAAAGCAGATGAAAATCCTCCAATCCGGAAGACTACATGATAACCGGATGTCTCGCTACAACCCGCTGAAGGCTAAGTCATCCAAGTCGGAAGACTAGCTAGCGCGGATCTCTTTCTCACCCGGAAGACTGAGAATGACTCTTCCGGATTTGTCAGCCAAGAAACGGATGCCTCAAGAAAGACCGGAACTCTCAAAAGCGGACAAGTGAGAAAAGACTTAGAAAATTATCTAAGTCTTGAATGAAGAAACTCTACCCGTTGGTAAGGAGAAATCAATCTCTTGATTTTCAACGGCTAGATTGAAGATAATTATGCTGATTCAAGAACAAATGACTTGAAGACAAAGTCTGGACCCATTAAATTAAAGAGCCTGTCCAGAATTCCTAAACAAGCACTAGAAGACAAACAGAGTAAAGTGCTACAGTCCAGAATTCTTGAACAACAGCTAGATACGGATTTTGTGGAAAAAGGAATCCCTCCTCAAACAATTGGGTATGTCCAAATACCCATTCCAACGAGGAATCTTCAAATCACAATCTTCATTCAAAATTGAAGCCAGCAAATGCAACGGATAGTCTATTTTGATTCAACGGATAGATTATCCAATCCAGCTATAAATAGCACCCTTGGAAGACTGGAGAAAATAGAAGACACGAACATACAACCCATGAGATAAAAAACCACAACGAAGCAATCTCTAACAACAAAGCTATCTCATTCATAGTTAGCCCAAAAGCTTGATAAAGAGAGAATTCTAAACTCCTTATCCAGAAGCAAACTTCTCCTCCTTCCAAAGAGCTATAGTGTAAACACTTGAAGGTTTCCTTGCGTCAAGTACCACACCACGTTGAAGGGTATAACTTATGATCAAACTTATTGATTGAAAGGGGGTAGATCAACTTTCTTACAAGTTGATCTTGCAAGTCCTATTGTTCGGATCTTGCAGTTGTTGAAGAAGCGTGACCTTCGAAGGAACAACAAAGCCAGCACGAGTGCAGTAGCAACATTGGCCTTGCGAAGATATACCATGCAGAAATTCACACAAGTGTAATTGTTGGTTCATTGTTCAACAACCAACTACATAGTGGATTTTGAGGACGTAGAAGGATTACCCCACCTTCGAACCTCGTTAAAGTTTGCGTGTCTCTTTTATCTTTATTCTTACTTGCAATTATATTAACTGTGAAAACTAACCCATCCATATTGATTACTGCTCACTCTACCCACCAAATTCCGCACACAATCTAAAGTTCACAAGAACTCTAGATTAACACTCATTTTCACGTTTTCAAAAGAAACGAAAAAGTTTTAAATTTGTAACAAAGTCTATTCACCCCCCCTCTAGACTTTGTATCTCACCACTTTGGGACCACCAATTGGTATCAGAGCAAACTTCTCACTATCTACATTTAGATTAACGTGAAGCGATCATAATGGTGAACAATATGGATCACGGTTTGCCCAAGTTTTCTCTTCTAGGTTATGATGATTGGAAGATCATGATGGAAGCACACCTCTACGCTCTACATGATTGCATGTGGATGGTCCTTGAGGATGGACCCTTGAAAATCCAAATGGAGAATCCTGAGAGGAATCCAGCCGCTCCAGATGTAGTCTAGTACATTCCAAAGCCCAAAGAAAAATGGGATGATAGAGATTGAAAAAAGCACAATCTAGACAATGTCGCCAAAGCAGCCATCTTCAAGACACTTGATCCCATCACCTTCTCCAAGATCAAGCATCTCAAGACTGCCATGGAGATTTGGCAAGGTCTTGGGAAGCTATGTGAGGGATTAGAGGACCTGAGAAAGCAGAAGATAGAAGTCCTACTTGAGAAGTTCAAAAGCTTCAAAATGCTTCCCGGAGAATCATTTGATATGTTGGATGAAAGATTCCACAAAATCTTGAATGATCTTGCATCACTTAACCACGTTCTTTCTCCCAAGGAAAAGAATGTAAGGTTAATGAGATCACTTCCAACCGAGTGGTACACCAAAGCCACAGCAATGGAAGAAGGAAGAAACTGGGAGAACTACACAGTCCAAGGTCTCCTTGATGAGCTCAGAACCTATGAGCACGAGCTGAAGAAGAAGAAGGAAGAACAAGTCACTCCCTTCCCCACGGCGCTGATGACAACTCCAAGAGTCCCATCAAGTTAGGGGACATGCCCAAGGAACTGCGACACACCTTCCTCCAGCCAGCCGTCAAGCTCAAAAATGGAGAACTACGATGAGGAATTTGCCATGATGGTCAAACAATTCTGCAAGTTCAAGAAGTTCTTCAAAAAGGCTGACTCAGTCAGAAGGCCATCCAAGGGAAAGCCACAGGTAAGTGACTCCCCTCCTAAATCTTATTTGAGTTATAATTACAGCATGCCCGTACCCAAAGGTGGAGAAGTACGGAGAAAGAGAAAGAAACGAGAAGAAAAAGAAGGCAATGGTTGCTGCTGAAAGTGACGAGTCATCCAGCTCAAGCTCGGATGAAGAAGCCTTCGTCTGCATGGAGCGCAGAGCTGAGAAGTCCAACCATGAGGATAGGTGGACTATGTCAGAAGATGACACTCTCTACCTAATGGCCAAAGATGATGCTGATCAAGAGGTAACCTCACAAAGCTCCTGCTCATCTTCTTATGAAAGCATACCAACTTCTGAAAATCTTTTTGACCAGTTCAAAAAGATGATGGAAGATTTTGAGGAGATAAATCTCAAACACTCATCCTTAACAGAAGAGAACAAGTTATTAAGTGAAGAGAATCTCAAGTTGACTGAAGGTCGGAAAAGTCAACTAGATGAGATCACTCAACTTAAAGCTGAAAATGAATCTCTCTCTGAAAAGGTGAAACCCCTCAACAAGGAGCTAGGGATACTTAAGTCCAAAGAAGCAGTGGATAAGCTTCTTGAAACGACCAAACATAAGGGTCGTGAAGGACTTGGGTTTGACCCCTCCAGTTCCAAAAAGAAAGGGAGAACAACTTTCATCCCTCCTAAACCTACTGCTAAACCCAATAAGCAGAAAGGAAAGGAGAAGGAGAAACCAACAGAAGTTCCCAAAAAGGTAGTCCCTTCTAAGAACTATAGGAAGCTGGACAGACCTCAAAGAGGAAATAATTTCAGAAGAAAACCTTCTAACCCCCACTACACACGAGGCTATACTCACTATGGGGTAGATAGGAGTTTTCCAAGAAATTCTGAGTGGAGAACAATGCCAAGATATAGTCGTCCTCCACCCCAGAAACTATTTGTTCCACCCAAGTATGCTTATAATTGTCACAGGTCACACTATGCACAACCTAGAGAAAACTATAGGTCTTATCAACCTAGGTTTGCTAAGAGGAAACATAAAATTGCCCCACCTGCACCTAAGAAATTTTATGCCTACAACTATGATTACAATCCCAACAAGTTTAGGGCTGCAAGGAAAATTCCCTGCAACTTCAAACTTGATGTAGGGACACATACCATTAACTATTCAGGACCCAAACTGAATTGGGTACCAAAATCTTCCTCCTCCTAATGCAGAAAGCCGCTAAGTACCCAGGTGTCTGGTACTTAGACAGTGGCTGTTCAAGACACATGACGGGTGATGCGAGCCTTTTGAGCAATCTAATTCCCTATGATGGTCCAAGAGTTACTTTTGGAGGAAGCAATGATTTTGGCCTTACTAAAGGGCTAGGAAATCTGGTGTACAAGGGACTAACCATCCAAGCTGTATCTTATGTTGAAGGTCTCAATTATAACCTTCTTAGCATAAGTCAGTTTTGTGATAAAGGTTACTCCTTGGAATTCTGCAAGGACATGGCATC